ACTTAATACATAACTAATAATATTTGTAGGTAGCATTAGTTTTTGGATTATCTGGCGCTTGTCGTTGCCACGAACTAAAAGATTTAACAATAAGCGATGTAAAGGATATTGGAAGTATTCTGTTAGTTAAAATCCGTATTACAAAAACAAAAGTTCTTTTCATATTTCTGGACCCTTTTATGATATTTCTAAAAAATATATGAGCCTACGTCCCGCAAACATGGATCAAAATAATTCAAGATTCTTTATTAACTATCAGAATGGAAAGTGTAGCAGACAGGTTGTTGGAATTATTAAAATCAGTAAATTTCCTAACGAAATTGCTCAGTTTTTAACGCTTCCGAATCCTCAAGATTACACAGCAGAACATCCGCAACGCTATTAGTGGATGCAGGAGGTGACTTGCTTCTGTTAAAAAAGCACGGTGGTTGGAAATCTAGTAGTGTTGCGGAAGGATATGTTGATGAATCCACGAACAGTAAAAACCAAATACAAACCAAAATTTTACAATCTGTACAAAATAAGGAAACTACTAGTTCATCCGATTATGGCGCATCATCATCTGAAATGACATTTAACACTAGAACAAATATGTCGGCATCTACCTCAATAAATAAAAAGCTTGAGTGTGATACCCCCATAATTTTGAACAATTGTTCAAATATAAAAATAAATCAATATTTAAATAATAAATATTATTTCTGAAATATTTAATTGTTGGTTAATTTTTTGTTATTCCTAACACAAAATAAAGCATTTGCCAACGTTTGTTTTTTTTTTTTCATTTTAGTAAGTACCTACATGACATAATAGAGTTCGTAGAAAAAGTATAGTGTTTTACTCGTCGAAAATCATTTTTTGAAGCTCGCGAACATTACCAACCTCGGCTTCGCCTCGGTTGGTAAATTGTTCTCTCGCTTCAAAAAATGTTATTTTCGTCACTCGTGAAACAATATACTATTCTATCAATTAGTTTCTGAATTATCGTTTATACCACTAAAATTTAAAAATCTCTAAAAACTATTAACTTTTGGTATAGGAAATGCTTGAGTCAAATTAAAGTATAATTAGTATGCTTTTGAACGATGATATACAATACAGGGTAAACCATTAAAATTGAGAAAATTATGTATTTGTGTTTTGACTCACTCTGTACGAATTGAAAAAAGTAGTGTAAGTGTCTCCGGATAAAATTTGACCATGATTAAAAAATTGTGGTAGAAAAAAAATTGGTTATCAATGATTTCTTTTGCATGATATACTTAGGTCATTGAATTTAATACGATTTTCATACAAAACTGATTATATCCTGCAAAATACCCTATATAAGCCAATAATAATTTATATGTTTAGAATGGGAAAAGCGAGGACAATTCAAATATGAAATAAAATACAGAGTGATCCATTGAAAAGAACATAAGTTGGTTCCAGAGGGAAGTTATTAAACACCATGTATATTCAAAAATAATGTTAAAATATGTCGTTTGACGCTATCTACCGTTCTGTGAAAATATTTTTTTTTATCTCTAATAATGGCGGAGATATTGGAATTTTTCACACTAATGGATCACCCTGTATAAATGATTTATAATTACTTGACATTTCAGGACACTTCAATAATTTTGTAGACGATACTACTGTTTTATGACATTGCAAAGATGTAGATACACTATACAATATTGCTGCAACCGATATCCATAAAATTAAATTATGATGTGATTTAAATTTTCTTACACAAAATCTCTTCAAATCTAAATTGTTAATCTTTAAATGTTTACTTCCAGAGCTACATTTAGGAAGCGATTCACTAGAAAACGATTCGGTGCACAAATAACTTTTAATAACATTTTTTTAAATTTCTGTATACTCAACAGATATTAGATTATTTTATTTTCAAAAGATGGTACATCATGCTGTACATTTATTAAAACAACTGTTTCTTTTAATTATTGTGGTCAAAACATGTTTTCTTGCAATCCAACTTTGACTAATTAACAATTTTTCGGCTGTGTCTCAATAATTTCAGAATGTTCCTCATATAAATAATAGTAAATAAATAAATTGATAAATAAATAAAGCTTTATTGCCTTACAGTATACATACAGTGTGGAAACCACTTATGGAATAAAATTCTTTGTCATTATTTTAGAAAATTGTAAAAAATGCCGAGACACGTCAACTTTTGAATTGAGTTGTGCGTTATGTAAACATAAATTTAAATGTACAGGGTGATTCACGCATATTTTTGAAATCCTCTTAATGAACCGATTCCAACAAACTGAATAATGTATGTATGCAAATATACAGGGTGTTTCATTAAAAAAAAAACAACACCGACTATGGCATACTTGCGTGAATCACCCTGTACATTTAAATTTATGTTTACATAACGCACAACTCAATTCAAAAGTTGACATGTCTCGGCATTTTTTATAATTTTCTAAAATAATGACAAAGAATTTTATTCCATAAGTGGTTTCCACACTGTATGTATACTGTAAGGCAATAAAGCTTTATTTATTTATCAATTTATTTATTTACTATTATTTATATGAGGAACATTCTGAAATTATTGAGACACAGCCGAAAAATTGTTAATTAGTCAAAGTTGGATTGCAAGAAAACATGTTTTGACCACAATAATTAAAAGAAACAGTTGTTTTAATAAATGTACAGCATGATGTACCATCTTTTGAAAATAAAATAATCTAATATCTGTTGAGTATACAGAAATTTAAAAAAATGTTATTAAAAGTTATTTGTGCACCGAATCGTTTTCTAGTGAATCGCTTCCTAAATGTAGCTCTGGAAGTAAACATTTAAAGATTAACAATTTAGATTTGAAGAGATTTTGTGTAAGAAAATTTAAATCACATCATAATTTAATTTTATGGATATCGGTTGCAGCAATATTGTATAGTGTATCTACATCTTTGCAATGTCATAAAACAGTAGTATCGTCTACAAAATTATTGAAGTGTCCTGAAATGTCAAGTAATTATAAATCATTTATACAGGGTGATCCATTAGTGTGAAAAATTCCAATATCTCCGCCATTATTAGAGATAAAAAAAAATATTTTCACAGAACGGTAGATAGCGTCAAACGACATATTTTAACATTATTTTTGAATATACATGGTGTTTAATAACTTCCCTCTGGAACCAACTTATGTTCTTTTCAATGGATCACTCTGTATTTTATTTCATATTTGAATTGTCCTCGCTTTTCCCATTCTAAACATATAAATTATTATTGGCTTATATAGGGTATTTTGCAGGATATAATCAGTTTTGTATGAAAATCGTATTAAATTCAATGACCTAAGTATATCATGCAAAAGAAATCATTGATAACCAATTTTTTTTCTACCACAATTTTTTAATCATGGTCAAATTTTATCCGGAGACACTTACACTACTTTTTTCAATTCGTACAGAGTGAGTCAAAACACAAATACATAATTTTCTCAATTTTAATGGTTTACCCTGTATTGTATATCATCGTTCAAAAGCATACTAATTATACTTTAATTTGACTCAAGCATTTCCTATACCAAAAGTTAATAGTTTTTAGAGATTTTTAAATTTTAGTGGTATAAACGATAATTCAGAAACTAATTGATAGAATAGTATATTGTTTCACGAGTGACGAAAATGATTTTCGACGAGTAAAACACTATACTTTTTCTACGAACTCTATTATGTCATGTAGGTACCTACTAAAATGAAAAAAACAAACAAACGTTAGCAAATGCTTTATTTTGTGTTAGGAATAACAAAAAATTAACCAACAATTAAATATTTCAAAAGTTGACATGTCTCGGCATTTTTTATAATTTTCTAAAATAATGACAAAGAATTTTATTCCATAAGTGGTTTCCACACTGTATATCATTTGTAGGACAAGTTGCAAAAAAAAAAATATATAACTGATCACGCTTTCCTTACTGACTATATGACCCAGGTAGAAATTGTTGATACTTCTTGTGATTTAGCATTAGTTGGACAGTTCGGAGTCTTTTAAAAATTTCTCCTAACTTCTTTAGATGTTCATCAAATAACTTCTTCAAAACTAAGATGTCTAAATGTTTTCCAGGATAACCTTCAATTCCTTTTCTGTAAGTCTTTCAAATGTTGTGTGGGCATTATAGAATCCGAATGGTATGATATGGAATTGCCACAATCCAGATCCAGTGGTAAAGGGTATGTTCATGAAATCCATTCCTAGTTCAACATCTTCGATATTAGCGACAATAACAGTATGAGTGAACTCTTCTGTACCAATTCCTTATTGAACCTGGAATTCCTCATGACAAGTACTCCTTCTCTATTCTTAAGAAGAAAAAAAAAACCAGAACATGAATTTAAACAAAAAAAATATATAGAGAAAAATAAACTCATCATTGATATTCATATTAATCAAGGACTTTGATGTGTCTATGATTATTTCAATTAGCCTCCTTTCCTTGTATAAGAAACAATTTTACACTTAACATTGTCTAGACATCAGTTGTTAACAATGTTAAGGTTACGTTGCAGGGCAATACAATAGAAGCTACTTATAATAGAAGAAAATATTTTTATAAGTCATCCACATATTTTAATTTTTTACATGTTTCATATGTTTAAACACATTAGGTTTGTTTTGGTTCAAACAGAACCATCGATTCCAGTTCTTAAATATAGTTGACCAATTAATTTTTCAAGAACACGTTGCTGAAGTGATTCTAAACTAGCTTGTGCAAAACACCAAAACAATCCTATAATCAATCAACAATAAAAAGAAACAGGTCCAAGATTTGATCCTTGCGGACCTCCTAATTATTCACGATATTTGCTAAAACTGTATCCATTGAAAAAACAAATTGACTGTATGACATTAGAGTTAGATCCCAATTCTGGCAATTTATCTAACCTAATTTTTTTAATTTAATTAAAAAGAAGTAAATAAAACACATTATTACAAATTGTTTCTTTTATTAAGGTAGAAAAAAAGTGTATAAATAAATTTATCTTACAAAGTAAAAAAAAAGATGGAGCGAAAACAACGGTGCAACAAACAATACTGATGAAGTAATAAAAACAATGAGAAAGTTTTTAACAGTCGTTTCAATGATGGTATTTAGTAATGGTGGTCGTGCAAGTCTAGCCCACCTCCGAAACCATGCAGACCACCATCTAAACCTCCAAAGCCATGATCGTCATGGCCATGGGCGTGCACAAGCACTGGTACTTTCTTCTCGACATATACGGGTACTTTCACGGGATATGGCACTGGCTTGTGAACTGGGTATGGTACCGGATGTGGTACGGGTACTGGATGAGGTACTGGTACTGGTACTTTGTATGGTACTTTCACTGGATACGGTACTTTCTTAATAACTGGGTATGGTACAGGTTTTTCTACATGTACTGGGTATGGTTTAGGAACATGTACAGGGTATGGGCGGTCTATATGTACTGGTACCTTAACTGGGTATGGTACAGGTACTTTCTTTTCAATATGCACCGGGTAAGGTGCTGGGTACGGTACTTTAACTTCTTTAGTGATTGTAACGTGTTTAACATGCCCTTCGTCGTGGAAACCACCAAGACCTCCTCCAAGTTCCAAACCATGACCTCCTAAGTCTAATCCATGTCCGCCAAGACCGCCGAGTTCCAGACCGTGTCCTCCGAAGTCGTGGCCTCCATAACCCAAATCGAAAAGGCCCCGCTTGTCTTGTTTCTTCGCCGTCACTGAAGATGCTTTTGCTTCCTTCGCCTCAGCCTTTGCATCGCTCCCCGGGTGGGCGGAAGTCAATGCAAGACCCGCTAGGAGCAACAAAGCATAATTCTGGAAAGAAAAAGAAAAATGTCAATACCTAGTCATTAGAATAATTATTAACTACGATTTATATTAATTAAACATAACAAGCTTTTTAAACATTGCATAAATATCAAGATTTGAACAAATGAATTATGACTTTACTGACAAATGACTAACTTGTAGACATTGACTGATGACAGTCATGCTACCAACCTAAGATATGTTTAGGTGTACGGTTACGTGTAGATATTACAATAATAACAATAATCTTCTTTTCAAAAGACATTAACACTAGGAAACGAATGTTAACCAATGTTAATCAACGCTTTGATCTCAGGTGATCTGGTGGTAAAACAATAAATCGAATGAAAATGTTTTTTTAGACAACTTAATTATTGTTAGTACTGGTTAAACGTAAGTAATTCAGAACTGCTTAGAATACATGCTTAAATTTATAGTTATAGACTCGACTTGACTAGTATTAGAACGATTTAGAATCAATTGACAATTTTGTTTGTTTTTTTATAACCTATAGAAACAGCTGTTAAAAAACATTAAGTGTGTTTCGTTATGTAGAAGAATTATTATCCCTAAGTATAATTCATTATTATATACTTTATTTCGCTTTAAAAGTGGTTAAATTACTGGTTAAATTACTGGTTAAATTACTGGTTAAATTACTGGTTAAATTACTGGTTAAATTACTGGTTAAATTACGGAAAACAATCGTTTTGAATTAAAACTTTTAAGTAATGATGTTAAATAGGTGTAAAATAGGAAAAATCATTATAAAATAGATAAAAAGCAAGATAGACAAAAACTAATCCAAAAATCTCTTTTATTTCAAGAAATCTTGAAAACAGATTAAATTACGGAAAATAATCCTTTTAAATTAGAAGTTTTAAGTAATGATGCTAAATAGGTCTATAATAATGTAAATTTATTATAAAATAGATGAAAAAAAAAGGATAGACAAAAACTAGTCCAAAAATATTTTCTATTTCGAAAAAAAACTCGAAAACTGGTTAAATTACGGAAAACAATCGTTTTGAATCAGAAGTTTTAGGTAATGACGCTTAATATAGAGAAATTCACTATAAAATAGATGAAAAAGAAGGATAGACAAAAACTAGTCCAAAAATCTTTTTCATTTCAAATTAGAGAAATAGTAATTTTCTTTTATTGTTAATTATTTGATTAATAACAGTAACAAAATTTAAGTGAGGTTAAATAGCACGATACAGAATTAAATTTTAGAAAAACATTTTATTACTAAATGATTTAGATGATTATTTTAATAATTTTTCAGTGTACAATATATTTTTAATTAATATTGCCAATTTATTAAATTTAAAAATGTATGTAATGTAATTAATATCTTATTTGAAATATAACTTAAATGTTATATAAATTATGTCTAGGAATTTCATTCAATGTAGAGCACATAAATAAGTAAATTATAGCATAATAATATATTAATGATTTGCAATAGAATTTTCAACACACCATTACGTTAATAAGTAATTATTTTATTAGCTATTCAACGTTTTTATGCATGATTTTATATACTTGCACAGAGTTCCTTCAAAGAAATCAGTGTTTTTAATAAACAAAAAGATCTGATAAGAAATTTACACTAAAGGAAATGAAAGTATTGAAAAAAATAGTTAGTAAAACTAAAGTAAATAAAATAAGGAACGAAAGTATAGGAGATATTCTACAGAAAGAACTAATAATTAAATAATAAGGGAAAAACAAATGAATTGGTGTTTTCAAACTATGATAATTAATAAAAAAAGAAGAGAAGAAAAGAAAAGGAAAATATCAAATGAAGAAAAAAGAAAATTGAGGAAGAGATGGATATAACAAGTGGTGAAAGTAAAAGAAGTAAACGTGGTGAAAAATTAGGTAAAAGAGGAAGATAGCATCTGTTTGGAAAGAATGGAAAAGATGGACAAGTGGATGAAAAATTACTTTGTAAAAGTTATAAGAAAGCGATGAAGAATAAGAAAAAGAAGAAGAAAATGGTGAATAGATGCGAGGACATCTTTTTTTAATGATTGTATCTAATAACTCTTAACCTAAAAAGGTTACAAATGTGAAAATAAGTAATTTATGTTTTATCATCTACCAGTTACTATTTTTAATGAAAGAAACATGCTTATCTGTACAGATAGCAGATAAGTAATGCTTAACCTGGACAAACCACACATTTCCATAGGGTTAGTATTAGAATGTCACCAACCTTGGTTGAAGCACCAATATTGTCATCACTTTAAGATAGATCAAAGACCATAACATATTTTTGCCCATTCGCTATTCAAGAAAGGAACCAAACATATATTTTTTGGACTTGCCCCTTTCATTAGAATAAAAACAAACAGTCCTGATAAATTTAATTAAAATTTCTTTGAGGACATGCTAAGAAGATATTAAATCACCTTGATTTATAAATCCATTCAGTCGGTAGACGCACTAAATACATTTAAAAACCTTCTAATATTCAACGAGAAATCTCATCGGCTCGCACTTTGTATTTGCTTGAAATATTGAAAGAAATATAAAAAGCGATCCTAGGCAATTCTGGAACTATATAAATTCTAAAAATTCTTCATTCTCAATACCAACATCAGTTGAGTATAAAAACTACTTTATCAAAGACCCACAAGCATTCATTCAAGTTTTTGCAGATCATTTCTTTAATAGTTCTTCTCAGTCAGCATCTACCAACTACGCAAGTAAATTGACTTCAAATTTTCCAGCGCTATACACAAAATCAATATCACTAGATGAAATTGTCAAGGGTGGATACATTTTTGCAACTCCTCTACATACAATTTTAAATAAAATTATAAAATCTTGCACTATCCCTAGTGAGTGGAAGATATCTTGTGTAACACCAGTTTATAAAAAAGACAATAAATCATGTTCAAAATTATTGACCTACCTATTAGTATTATATGTAACTTTGCTAAGATATTAGAATTCGTTCTTCATGATCATTTATCAAATCATATCTTCCGATATATATCCTCAGATCAACACGGATTCATGAAAGGCAGATCCACGGTAACAAATTTTATTTGTTCCACACAGTTTATATCAGAGGCCCTAGATAGAAAGATTTTAGTAGATGTAATATACACTGAGTTTTCTAAAGCTTTAGACAGAGTTAACCATACCATCTTACTCAAAAAACTTTCCTCCATAGGTTTAAACACGGAGCTACATTTGCTGGTAACTTCTTACTTACAAGACAGACATCAGTATGTCCAATGCTTTGGTTATAAAAATTCCAGCAGTTATCAGGAGTACCACAGGGATTAATTTTGGGGCCTCTTTTATTCAATATATTTTTAAATGATATTGTTCAAAACATCAATGATATAAAGGTCTTAATGTATGCAGATGATCTAAAATTATTGGTGGAAGTTCGTTCAACGAATGACTGCAAACTTTTACAAAAGTGTCTGGATGGTATAGCGGATTGGTGTCAGGATAGTTGACTCCCAAAAATGTTGAGTTATGTCCTTTACCAGGCGATTAACTGCTTTCACTTTTAATTATAGATTGCATGATATTATTCTCAATAGGCCTGGGTATATTTTGATCCTGAACTTATCTTCACTAAACAGTAAACACATTAAATCTATGGTGTCATCTGCCAATAAAACACTAGGGTTTGTCATAAGAAGAGATATGAAGTCCCAGACAAAATGTATATATTGACCTAATCGAAAAAGTTCAAAGAAAATTTATAAAATCGGCTTATTTTGTATTAGATGGTATATATCCCTCAAGAGGATTTCCTCATGATCTGCTATTAACACAATTTAAACTCTCAGATCTGGCAAAACGTCGAACTTTTCAGCAAATAACACTACTTTGAAAAGTTCTTCTACTGAATTCTAGTTCATTGTGTAATCTTAGTTTAGTTATTGGTATTATTGTCAATTAAACATAATATAGTACTTTTTCCTATCCATTGTTGACATCCATTTTTTCCTGTTTTACATACAGCCACAGGTTTTTTTCATGGACATTGACACCTGGATTGCAAAAAATAAATAAATAAAGTCAACTTGGACTAGACACAATCTACGCACTATTACATGCGTTTTGATTGGTTATTGACGATATGGAGCTGTCAGATACTCTGCATTATACAGGAGGTGTGAACAAGAAGCTAAATTCTCACATCTATTAGGAGATTTTTGTGCATTAGCTAACACCAACATAAAAACATCTCTTGGACAAAATCTACATCTAATCTGTAGGCTGGTTGACAAGTCAAGGAAGATCTTATCTTCTCAGGAATGTGTATAGACATAAATGTTGTGGGGAAAAATTTATTCTTTCTACCTTACAGAGATTTAATGAGTTTTCCATAATAAGACCTGCATCTGCTGAGTAGATGTTATTTTGAAACTGAAAATTTTGTTCTAAACAAATGTTTTAACAAATTTAGAATTTCCTATTTGATTATTATATTGACTTGATTACGATCTAATAAATTTTCTACTAGGTTTACTATTTATTTAAGAGGTATACTAGAAATAAGTTTGTTACATGAAATGATACTGATTTTGTGTTACTATTTTAAGGGGTTATGATGGACAAGTAATGTTATTTTTAACAGACACGTTAATTGTGAACAGGTTGTTATTTCTGTGTGTTTATAAAGTAACAGACCTGTTAAAAATAACACAGACCTTTAATGTGACAGTTGGTAAATGTCAGTAACGTTAACAGTGTCAGTATCGTCATCAGTGTCAATACCGTTAATATATGTTAATAAGGTTTTAGTTATTTAGTTAATTTAGGTTATTTAGATGACTTAAGTCAACTTTGTTTAAAATTTAAGATTTAAAAAAGCCTGTAAATACTGAGTTTGTTGAATTTGGTCAAAACAATATTATATTCTATAATTTGATGTTTGAGACTTGAAATAGTGAAATTTTTAACATATTTTGATTAAAATTAGGTTGATTAAACATTTTTATTAATATATTGTATGTGGCTAAAGA